CGGGGATATTTAAGCCTATTTGAATCTCACTTATTGCTCATTAATGTGCACAAATTGACACTTGTTGCGATTGTCAACTTAAAACAGGGAAGGATTTATTTAATTAAACAAGAAAAAGATTATTTGTGTCTGCATGGTTACGGGTATGGAGGCCCGTTATGGTAAACAGAAAGACCCATTATTATCGCAGCGGCCGATCTTTTTGTGCATGGTTGTATTAGATAGTGAACATGGGAAATGAGAACTTATTTTTGTTAGAATTCAGTATAATAATTCTTTATTGATAACATTTAGAAAATCATAAGTAAAATATTTTTTAAAATGCTTAATAAACAAATTTAAAATATTATTGTTATAATGTTTCAGTCTTTATATAAAGATATAAAAGAAATTATGACTTTCCGGTCGCATCATAACGACTGGTACATAAAGTGCATGGTTAATAAAAAAACGTTCAACTTATAAAAAATGTTTTGAATATGTTACAGCTGCGAATGATACGAGGATAATTTCGTTTGCACAGCGCCTTGCAGCATACCCTTTTCTGCATAAACCATACAGTGGCGTAGCATCGATTTTGAACGTGGGGGGGGGGGGCAGCCAGAGAAAAAAAAATTTTTTTACTTACTTACTGGAAAAGTTGACAAGCGCCAAAAAAAAAAAGGACAAAGTTGCCCAAACTCGAAAATCCTATTTCGTGGGGGGAGTTAGGTACATCATTAAAAGTCTAAAAGTAGGGGGGCCAACCAGGCTTTCAATTAACATTTCCTATAGTATATGTAAGGTTGGGGAAAAAAGTGGGGGGGGGAGCCCCCCCCCCGGTTGCTACGCCCCTGCCATAAGAATTATCACGTGATGAAAAGATCCAGGGTGCACGTGGCTCGGTCATTTTTATTTGAGACTGTCTTCAAAGCAATGTAAATAAATATTTTTTTTAATAAGTACGTACATAGATATTTAAGTGCATTTGCTCATCAGACGGATTCATCGATGTAATAAAGTCCATAGGAGTCTGAGGCAAATTGAAAGTGGGGGCTAATTAAAAAGGGGGGGCACACCAACAAAAAAAAACCAATTTCAATGCATAGAAAATGTACATGTCTATCTTTGCAAAGAAAAGTGTGGGGCTAACCCCCCCCCCCCCCCCCCCGGGTTCTCACGCATATGAAGTCAGTGATAAAAGATTTGATTGAAAATGAAAATATACGCTTCTCAAGATTCTACTTCAGCTTTGAATATCTTGTACTTCCATTGTATGGATATGCTTTCAAAATTGTGAAAGTACTTTATCAAATGCTAAATTGTTTGTGGCCGATTTGATGCTTTATATCAATTTTTAATTGTGGAAAATATGAATTGTGTCAAAAATATTTTAGACACTTCTTATGCTGAATATTGAGCAGTGGTGATTGGTTATTTGAAGTTTCCTTGTGGTTTAAACAATAATACAATGGCATAAATTTAAAAGCCTGAAAAAATAATACTTTTAGTGTGATGTTTTGCTACATACTTTCATTTCCTAGAATATAATTAGATATAAATATTTTTCAAATAAAAAGAAAAAAAACTTAAGCTATATCTCTCAGATATTAAAGTTTAATCATTCTTGCCTAAGCGCATAACCATTATATAAAGTTACATTTGTGCGCAGTTAAAAAGATAGTTAAATCATAATTATTTGAACGTGTTACAGGCACTTTTGTCAAATATTCCGACACCAAAATAAAGTCTTTTTTTCTGAAATAAACAATTAACCAGCCGAAATCAAAAATTAGATATATTTTCTAGGACAGTTTTTATATAGGTAATTTTTTTGATTATTTATTATAAATTGATTTTTGTAAAGAGGATAGAAATCGAGTTTACCATTATGCTCTTTTTTATGTTTGCCATAATGTGTCTTTCCGTTTACCATAACGGCCCTCCATACCCGTAACCATGCAGACACAAATAATCTTTTTCTTGTTTAATTAAATAAATCCTTCCCTGTTTAAGTTGACAATCGCAACAAGTGTCAATTTGTGCACATTAATGAGCAATAAGTGATATTCAAACAGGCTTAAATATCCCCGCAATCATCGGTTGCTATGTTAAAAATCAACTTCCGTTAAAAAAGAGTGCTCGCATTATTAAACGCAACGGTAGAAAATTTATTAAAATTCAAAACATGCAAGCATGACAGTTTTTGTTCATTTTGATACCCACCATGACTTGCGGTTTAAACGCCTTGCATGGTATCGGATGAAATTGAGGGTATCCACGGCAGGAAATATAGCGTAATTTCACTATAATAGTGAGATACCACTATTATAGCGGAATTTACGTCTCCCCCAACCTGATGAAGGGCAAGTTGGACTTGGACAACCTCTGGAAAGTTGTTTTCCCTGTTTATTTTGTCCAAATGTTAAGGCTTGAAAGCGAAAGTACATTGCAAATGGCGGGTTCTACAGCTCCCAGATAGCATGACTCCGTTGGGTCAACGTTGGTTTTTGTTGTATGGTTGGTAGAGTGTTGGCGTTGGGGGACAGATGTAGGCCTAATGTTGGTCCAACGTTCATTTACGTTGGCATGAAAGCTAAACCAACGGTGTTAGGCATGTGATGTTGGCCCAACGTTGGTCTAACGTTCATTTACGTTGGCATGAAAGCTAAACCAACGGTGTTGGGCATGTGATGTTGGCCCAACGTTGGTCCAACGTTCATTTACGTTGGCATGAAAGCTAAACCAACGGTGTTGGGCATGTGAAGTTGGCCCAATATTGGCCCATTGTAGTAACAAGTTGACAAGAATATTTATATAGCGACTTGGTGTTTGACATTAAGATGTTGGCCCAACATAGGTCCAACCGAGTAAGTGTTGACATGGATCAAGACCATTGTGTGTTGAGTATGAAATGTTGGCCCAACGTAGGTCTAACTGAGTACAAGTTGACACAAAACATTGCCACTTATTGTTGGTTATTCAATATTGGCCCAACGTTGGCCCAGCTTAATAAATGTTGACAATATAATGATCCATTGCTCTGTGTTGGGCATGCTGGACTGAACTGGAGTTGGTCCAATAGTAGGAATATTGGGATAACTAGTACATGTACAGGTAGCCTGTAATGTTTGAGAATGAAATGCTGGTCCAACGTTGGCCCAATGTTGCGAAAAGTATTCGTCAATTTAGATTTATCTATTTTAAATCGATGGTAATGATATAAGCAACTCATTATAAACATGTGATCATGATCTATATTATATATTGAATGGAAAATATGAGACAATCCTTATAAGTCTGTGAATTAAATATAGAAAAAATTCTATATTTAGCATCATTGAATCAAATTTAAAGTGCTTTGGGCTCCAAAATAAATAGGTCACTGGTAAAATTCACTGGCTCGGCAGGTGACTCATAGGTCTCCAAGGAAACCGTCATCTTAATCATTTTTTTTTAACCGCGCACTTGAACGGCGTGGTGTAAAATGCGGAGGATGGAGTCTCCACAATGATTCCAAAATGGAGGGTCAGAGGGTGTAAGGGGTGGAGCTTCTTGTGTCAATTTTAATATATTTGCCCGTTTTATCTTTCAATCATTTTAGAAACTGAATACTACTGGGTTGCTTGTAGAGCTCTCCATCAGTGATAAAAAGTGCCTGTCAGAATTAATTATTGAGTCTAGATACCGGTATGTCCTAAAAATTTTATTGCAGATAATTATGTCATGCATTACACATCGCAGATCACTTTGTCTGCAAATTATCAACAATTAAAAAGTATATTTCACATTGCTGTAAAAGCTGCAAAAGCTTCTGTATATGTGTAAACCACAAAAAGAAGATACACTTAAATGACAACTGAAAATGAAATTTAGCAACAAAAAAAAGATAACATGACTTTCAGTTATATCAACAACAAATGAGGGGACAAATTTGCTTCTGTACACTAACATATATTCTTTTTTATCTTTCCCTAGAAGTTTTTAACATTTTGTCCTTCGGATATTTGATACCTATACTAATAAAATCTGTCAAGACCTCATGGGTTACTGCGAGATAGCAGTGTGAATCAGACAGTTTCCATTGCACTTATCATCTGTTATATCGCAAAACAAAATTTAAATCAAAAGCACAGGCTGCATGCCCCTCATTTGTTTCTCATATCTATAGGTCATTGCGATTCTCCTGTTGTTGTTTCTTTATCATGTTGCTTGTTTCTCATTCTTTTTAGAACAATAAAATAAAATAAAAAGAGTTAATGGCCAGAGTTCTCTAATAAAACAATCAGTTCATTTACTGAATTTATAAACTAATTATTTTTAATTTTTCTAAAATGTTTTTGTGTGCAGTAGATAATATGGATAATACATGTATTTCTGAGTAAATAATGACATCACGGCACATTTCCAACATCGGACAGTGTCTTTGACAGCAATCAGATATTTCAGATGATAATAGGTGTTTTGTAATAGGCCATATTATGACACCTTTATTTACATATCAGTCTTTTTACATATATCTGTAAATAATATCACCAAAAGATAATAATTTTGATGCTATTCTGTTTCAGTCAGTCTCTGTTATCTTTAAAAATTAAAAAATCAGCAAAGCTGTTCCCCACATTGAAATGTGGTGTTCATTATTTTTTTTACGTTTCCTGTTTCTTTGTTTCTCATTTAGTATTTTATGGACTTTATAAACAAATGTCATCAGATACTGTCAAATGGTCATCACAAAATCAGGTTCGGAGATATAACTGAGTTTTATTCCCTCAACTTCAATGGATTTTTTTTTAATTGCTTGGGTAATGTAACACTCTATTAACACATTCTCACGGGGTATCAGAAAATGAGATGACAGATCTAATAGGCACGTGCTAAATTTACGACAAGCACTATGCTCCACCTCCTGCATCATCTTACACAAGAGACTCCACCCCTTGCACTCTCTGACCCTCCATTTTGGAGTTTTGTGGAGACTCCATCCTCCGCATTTTACACCAAGCCCACTTGAACAATGCAAAGCGTATGTGTCTGTTTAAGTGAACTCAAGAATTTTAATCCTTTTAATGTAAGTATAGCTTTTGTTTTTGTTATTGAAATAATTCATAATGTGAAATGCACAACATTGTAATGGCCTGCATGTAGGCTTTCAAATTATTGGAACCGGGTAGATGATTAAACAATTTTAATTGATGACGATCTTAATTTTTATAGGAATTGGCGGGCTTGAACAAAACAGATATATCTGGATCTGTAAGTGAAGCAAGAATATTAACCAGTGAGATGTAAGTAACTATTTTGTATTTATATTAATAATTAATAATGTGAAATTCAATCTTAAGGATTGCTTTAAAAATATGTGTGATGCTGATGAACATTTGAAAATACTATTTTAATTGATGACAATCTTAACGTTTACAGGAAATGCCGGGATGGAAAACCCCTCTTCACTCTGAGACTATTGATGTGACATTTTCTGTATATGGAAGGGACTGTTCTTAGAATCCATGTTTTCCCACACATATAAATGTGTGGGAAAACATGGATTCTAAGAACAGATAAACAACAGAAAAAGTGATAAGTGATTCAAATATGACCTTTCAAAACTGTACAATTAGAACTTGAAGACTCTTATATCAAAGCGATATTTAGTAGTGGACATAGTGTTGTGGAATGTACTTGAGAAACCTGGAACTTTCTACCTCTTCCTTCTTTTAGTTATATTCCATGGAATACTTTAATGAAAGTGGAAGTGGCAAGGAATATATTTTGATACATTTTAGGAGGAAAAAACCGAAGTATTTACCAAACATGGTCGTATAATCTGGGAAATAAAAATTACAGAATTTAAATAATTTTGTAATACATTTGTATTGAGGAATAATTGTGCCAATGATATTTCAAGAAACAGCTTTGTATCAACGTTGAATCAACGTAATAACTATATTTTGAACTGAGGTCCAATGTAGGGCCAAAAGTAGTAACCAAAATATTTGGTTAGCATTGGTACGTTGGAATAGCATTGTACCAAAGTTGGCATTTCAACAAAAGTGTTGTACCAACGTTGGACCAACGTCGGCCCAACGTCATGATTATATTTTGAACTGAGGTCCAACGTTGGGCCAACGTTACAAAATATTGCGTTGGCGTTGGTATGTTGGAATAACGTTGTACCAACGTTGACAAATAAACAAACAGTATTGTACCAACATAGGCCCAACATGTTGGGCCAACGGCGCGCCAATGAGCAGTAGGACATTGGGCCAACGTAAATTGCCAACATTGGCCTAACATAACCAATATTGTTGGGCCAACGTTGGGCCAATGTCCTCATGCTATCTGGGAGGGTTTTGTCTTTATACATGTTATGCTTTTAATAACAGCCTTTCAGAGACCATTCACGTCGAACTTGCCCTTCATTGATAAACATATTTTATTTCTGCAATGATGGTTTTCACAAAAAAGGACATAATTAAGCAGGTGCATTTCTCTTTAAATATGCACATTTTCTGCTACAATTTATTTTAAAAATATTTGTTATCAAGTGATACTTTCTATCTTTTAATCAATGATATATTTATAAACTCTAAACATTTTGACTTTATACCACACATAGTTTTGGAGCTATTGTAAAAATAATTTTTTAGACATGTGGACCTTTGACGAAACCTTAATAGGGTCCAATCATACTCCTCGGGTGTTGTAGATACTAGCCTGTTCAAATCCTGGCCCAAGAGGATGGAAGGGTCGCAAAAGAGAATCAAAGTTTTGCAAAGAAATATAGAAGGAAAAAAAACTTTTAAATATCTTCACAAGAACAGCAAAAAATAGTCATGTTGAGTCGTATTGTAATGGAAGAATTCTCATGAATGTAGTGTACATTCAAGTTTGTTCAAATCATTACCCCCGGAGAGTTTAAGGTCACTATAGGGCGTCAATGGTTTACAAGGAAATTAAATAGGAAAACTTTGAAAGTCTTCTTCACAATAACAGCAAAATCATGTTAGTCGTGTTGACATGTAAACATCATCAGTAAGTGTAAATTCAATTTTGTTCAAATAATGACCCTGTTTTAGTCAAATTCACTGATAGAGTTTAACATAGAATATATTAGAAAAAAATTCAAATATATTTTTTTCTCATGGACAGCAAAGTAATGTACACTGTACATTGATATGTATATTAGGTGACCGGATGTCTGTGTAACATAGTCTACAACTGCACGAAGTTTAAATATTGCAGGAAGCACCATAGCTAACCTATGAAACAGAACCAATAGCAGGAAACAATAAATGATCGCGAAAAATATGGCAGACCATGCTTGACAACAGCAACGCATGATCCTTTCAGTAGATTCTAGAATTTTAACCCAAGTTTCATAATGACTTCGTCTAAAACATTAGCTATCCTTGGCTTGCACAAAATATCAAACAAGAGCGTTTGCAATTGACTATAGGATGCTAAAATTAGAGTCAGAACACCACCAATGTCAAATCCAAAGTCTCAGACCAACAGAGTATGCCCACGGCAACACCGCTCAACAGTTTGATTTAGCTATGAGTACATCTTTAAAATTAAAAAAACTTGACTGAAGACTAGTGAAGAGTCATGGTGCATAAGCTTTGAAATCTAAGTTTTGCGGAATCCGCCCAATTGAATCCCACGAATTTTCGATTTAGGATAGAATGTACAGAAACCAGCAGTTAGGTTTAGTACAAGTCTCGACAAACACTAGCTACATTTTTCCAGTGTAAACATGTTTAAAAAAATCACGCAAACGACGCCTACGTGCGCGTTTGAGAGTAAAATCGACATAAAGTGGCCAAGCTCGCGGCCCAAATTAGCGCAGAGAGTTTCTGTCAATTTAGGTTGAAAAAAAAATGAGTATGATTGTATTCTGTATAAATATCAGTTTCAGTGATAATGCCTTGACTATAACCGAGGTGGCATTATGAAAAATCCTATCTTGTTATGACGTTGTTACGCGCCAACGTCATCGTCATGGTTGGTTGGAAACATTTTAAGTTAACTCTCTGACAACCAAATAATCTGTTATTTGGTTGTAAGTTGAAAACAATCTGTACAGCAGTATGTTTTTGCCTTTTTATTCACTTATACAATATTGAATTCAATTACTAAACCCACAGTAGCTTCCGTCAGCCATACCATGATTGCTAGAAATTTACACTGACTGCAAATATACAAAAACGATGTCTATTGCTCTAATGCATCGCATGGCACTACTGAATGTGTTCACAAAATTATCATCATCAACATGCAAATGTTTTTGTCCTTTTATCACTTCCCCTACGTGACACCATACATTTCATGGTTGAATAGTTTTGACTAGCGACAAGACAATCCATTTAATATCAATAACCTTGACCCTTTGACCTAATTTGAAAAAAAAAATATCCTTGGTCATTACTTTTGAACAGTAAGGGCCATGGATTTCATATTTTAAATAAGCAATCCTTATGACAAGACCTTTCTTTAAAATTCAACAACTTTGACCCTTTGACCTTGATCCTGGAGTTTGGTGTACCTTTCAAAAACTTATCCTTTGCCATAACTTTTGAACAGGTAGTGCTAGGGCTTTCATATTTCACAATTGTATTTCTTGTGACATGACCTTACTTTGGGTCTTGTCACAAGTTTCATAAACACTGATCTTGTTTTCTTTGTTTATGATAAAGTAACAAGCATGAGCCAATTTTTTGTAACTGTATGGTCTTGCAATTGGACTTTTGTAAAATGAACATCAGTGGTATGCTGTAAAATCAAACATTTTCGAGGGATAATTTTGGGGGGTTTAAGGAAAAATCACTTGTTAGATAGGATTTGATTTCGTGTTTCTAGAAGAAATAAGTGATAATGCGCTTCAACTTCTACATTTCCTGGCGGACATGAATTCAAGGGTGTCTTTACATCTCGAATATTAAACCTCCAAGAAAATTTATGATCTTACAATGCCTCACTCACATGAACTTTTGCTGATTCTGCACCATGCACAGATAGTGAAATTCATGAAATTTAATGATGAATTAATTATCAGAGGTAGTATGGGTGTACATCAATTACACGTGAACGGACAAAGCAAGTTTTACTTCCTATAATGATGATATTGATAGAGCTACGTACATAGTACAACAGAAGCAGAGTTGCCTTACTAATTCCATTCTTTAAATTTTCTTATGCTTATTCAAAAACCCACCAGGTCAAATCACAACAAATATAATGCATGCTTTTTTGAGGACAGCAAACGAAACGGGCTTTGACTGACCACGTGTTGCTGGTGACTACAAATGCCGTACTGGTAAACAACCCTTCAATGTGATTGGCCAGCATTATCAGGGGATAGTTGTATTCCGAGTTTCATATGCAAGTATTGATTTCATTGATCCAATCAATGAGTAAAATGATAACCAACACACAAAGTTTTAGCACGCCCCATCAAGCAAACTGTCACGCTGTTTGTAAAATGATAATAAGACGAAATTTTTATTCGCTGTCGACAACATGGCCCATTAAACGCGAAAATCATTTATGTACTCTTTCGCTTCGCTCACACGAACATAAAGTATTTCATATTCTCTTTACATAAACAAAAACTCAAACACAAATATAGAGGAGGCGACAATGTTAGCCAAAATTTAATAAACTTGATTTGTACAAATGTAAACGCGTCCTTGGGTGCGTCCATAGAGCCCGGGAAGGAGGATAAAACACCAAGGTAACACAGGATTGGTCCAGGCAAACTGCGACATGCATCTCCGCACAAGGAATGGAATCTACTTCAAAGAAACTAAGCATCAATCTGCAAAATAATTCTATTTCATTAATTAAAAGTAAAAAAAAAAGTTTGGAAAACTGATACGTCGTGGCTAACTTGTCCAATGACAAAAGAACACAAAACACGAGTTTAAATACCCTTGGACCGATTCACCGTGTGACGCAAAATAGACCCCAAAAGATATTTAAATTATAAAAAGCAGATACGTAAGATAAATAGATATTACCAAAGTAATACATACTGACTTGATAGCCGAGTTATTACACCCGCCGCCCCGCATGCCAAAGGAACCAGGTTCAACTCCCAGGAACACCAATCTTTTTTTTTCATTATTATTTTCATACATGCCAACTTTCCCGATTTAGGCGGGATTCTCCCGATTTTACCCTTTCATCCCGCCTTCCCGATCGGGATAGAAAAATTTGCCTCATTTCCCGATTTGTAAAAAGATCACCAAAATTTTCGATTTTATAAGTTTCCCTACCACTGAATTTTGACAATCGGGATAACAATGTCAGACTTGTTTATTCAATGCACATAGATAAGTTTCATTGTTTATTTAACCAGTGTTAATTAGGCCTATAGCCACAGGAAATCATTTCACGCTTGAACGCAAGCAGTTGTCCAGTACAAGTAGTTTATAGCTTGGGGCAATTAGGGGATTATCTTGTCAGTTTTAAGGGGTATGCAAGTTGAAACACATAGATAAACCTGATGATAGTTAGTCATTTTATTAAAAACATAAATTAAAGACAATAAAATACTAATCAAACCATAAAATCGGAATCCAAAGAGATCGTTTTTTGAAAACGAAAGTAGAAAACTACAAAGCATAGCTGCTGATTTTATCTACCTATAATGAAAAATATTGTAAAGTTTGCCAGTTAAAATATTCTGAAAAAAAAATTAAGATGAAACAATCAAGTGTATGTCAATTAGAATTTCTTTTCCCTCCCTTCTCCCAAAAGTAATATGTTAGGTATGTGCATGACTTAAGGAAATACCCACATCGCACCA